AAAGGGATAAAAATAGGAAAGGAAAAAGTCAAATTATCACTCTTTGCAGATAATATGATCCTATAATTAAAAGATCCAAAACCTCCCCAGAAGACTGCTAGATAATAAATAAGATTCAGCAAAGCAGCAGGATATAAAATTAGCATACACAATTAAGTAACTTTCCTATATAGCAATAACGAATTTATTGGAAACGAGACCTGGAAAACAATACAATTCACAATAGCCTCAAAAAATAAAACTAAAAAAGAAAGAAAGAAAATACCCAGGAATAAATCTAACCAAGAAGATGAAAGACCTCTAAAATGAAAACTCTAGAACACTGAAGAACTTGAAGATGACCTTTGAAAATTGTCAAAATTACCATACTACCCAAAGTATTATACAAATTCAATGCAATCCTCATCAAAATACCAATGATATTTTTCACAGAACTAGAAAAAATATTCCTAAAATTCATATGGAAGAATAGAAGACCCAGAATAGCCAAAGCAATTCTGATCAAGAAGAGCAAAACTAGAGGCATCACAATACAAAGTCTCGAATTATATTACAGAGCTAGAGTAACAAAAACTGCATGGTATTGGCATAAAAACAGACATAGAGACTAATGAAACAGAACAGAAGATGCAGAGACAAACCCACACAGATCCTTGACAAAGGCACCAAAAGGGACAATTTTGAAAATTTATTTTCCAATAAATTGGAAAATCTAGAAGAAACAGATACATTTCTAGACACATTGGATCTGCCAAAATTGAACCAAGAGGATATAGAAAACCCTTTAAAGAGGCTCATAATAAGCAATAAAACTGACACAGTAATTGACAATAAGATTGACACGTGTAGGGGAAAAGATAGTCTTTTTAGCAAATAGTGGTGAGGCAACTGGTTATCCATATGGAGCAGAATGAGACTAGATTTTTTTTTCTCTCACCTAGCACAAAATCCAACACAAAATGGATCAGATACCAAGGAATTTAAAGAGAATCTCTGCAACTCCTAGAATAAAATGTATCCTCAACACTCCAACATATAGGTACAGACGATGACTTTCTCAGTAGGAAACTTAAAGCTCAGGAAATAATACCCAGAATGTAGAAATGGAAGGGTAGCAAATTAAAAGCCTTCTGCTCAGCAAGGGAAACAACTAAGGATGTAAAGAGAGAACTACAGATTAGGAGAAAAATCTTTGCTAGCTACTCTTGTGACAGAGGAATAATAACCAGAATATATTAAGAACTAATAAAACTTGCCACCAAAAACACCCCCCCCCCCAATAACCCAGTCAATAAATGGGCAAATGAACACACTTCTCAAAAGCAGAAATAAAAATAGCCAACAAATATATGAAAAAAAAGTTTGACATCTTTAACAGTTAGGGAAATTGAAATCAAACTACACAGAGATTTTACCTCACTGCAGTTAGAAAGACAGTCTATCAAGAATAGGAAAAAAAAAAAATAGCTGTGCAGGCTGGTGCAGACCTTTAATCCCAGTCACTGGGGAGGCTGAGGCAGGAGGATCATGAATTCAAAACCAGCCTCAGGAAGTTAGTGAGGCCCTTTTATGAGGGCACGAATCTTATGAACAGAAGAGCTCTTTCTAGTAAGAAACTCTTCCTGCTCACATCTTTAAGAGTTGTTCTGTAATCCTCAGCACTGGGATAGGAAAAGCAAAAACAAAAACCTGCTTCTATCCTACCCCAAAGAACCTACCAAAAGAGTCCCCCCCTCCTTTTTTTTAGTACTGGGAATCGAACCCAGAGGCTTTGCCCACATTATGCAAGTGCTTTACCACTGGGTTACATCTCACCCCTTTTTATTTTGTGACAAGGTCTCACTAAATTGCTTCAAATTTGCTTCAAACTTCCTCCTGCCTCGGCCTCCTGAGTAGCTGGAATGACAGGTATTTGCCACTGTGTCAGGTCCCAATGAACTTTTAAGAACTGGTTTTAAGGGGAAAAATGATTAAGTAAATATGACTTCTATTTTGTCATATGAATTCATATTTCAACTTCCAAACCACAAATTGGGATTATGAAGGCCAGGAAAGTTCTTGGGACTTGGTAGAAAAATATGATATTATATTGTTGAGACCAATATCCAGACTGAAATCAAACACAGATCATTTAGTCAGGTGTGATAGTGCACACTTGTAATCCCAGTGACTCAAAATCTAAGGCAAGAGGATCACAAATTTGAGGACAGCCTGGGAAATTTAGTCTCACTGTCTCAAAATTAAAAACAAACAAAAAACCCAAACAACATTTTTTTTTAAGGGCTGGGGACATAGTTGAGTGTACAGTGGAATCCCTGGGTTCTACCCCCAGTATTGACTAAAACAAAAAACAAAAATGAAAAAAAAATGCACAAGGAACAACTGTTTCATAATCACAGACTAGATATCTGTCTCCAGCTGGTAGCTTTTCAAATGGCTACAAGAATGACTAACTGCAAGAGTGCATGACTGGGGCAGACCTATCTCTTCCACCAATAAATCAGTTTAAAGAATGTTCACTCTCAGTGACTTTTGGCATAAGTTTTTTTAATATTTATTTTTTAGTTAAAGTTGGACACAATACCTTTATTTTATTTTTATGTGGTTCTGAGAATCAAACTCAGTGCCTCATGCATGCTAGGCCAGCACTCTACCACTAACCCACAACCCCAACCCTTGGCATCAGTTTCACAGATGAAGAATACAACATGAATAATATTGTAAAATTGTATAAAATAATTAGATTTGATGTATAAGTTAATGTTTCCATGAAGAATTGAGTAAAGTAGAACTTAAAACTTTAGGTATAAAGAGTTAATCAATTTAATATGCAATTTTCCCTAAAAATCCATTACTGAATTTAAGTTGAAAGATGGGGAGAGGTGCCTTTAAAATATAATCAGTTTTTATTTCAATGCTTAAGAGATGCATTAATTCAGAAACTAAAACACAGAATGGAAAACAGGGGTCTAATTTTTCTTAAATTGTATATAACTGCCTCATTATGTGTCAGCATTTCTCAACCTCAGCACTATTGTGTGCTAGATAATTCTTTGTTGTAGAGGTCTGTTTTCCTGTGCTGTGATCAGAATGTTTGACACACCCCGCCCCTCCACCAAAATTTGTATGCTGAAAACCAATCCTCAATGCAATAGCACTAAGAGTTTTTTAGCCTTTAGGAAGTGATTGGCTCATGAAAACTCTTTCAAGAAGTCCTCCTGGTGGCCAATTGGAAAGCACTCTACCACTAACCCACAACCCCAACCCTTGGCACCAGTTTCACAGATGAAGAATACAATATGAATAATATTCATGTTATATCACTGGGGATAAATATATAGTCTGTGAATATAGAATAGTTGTTTTTTTTTTTTTATGGGAAACTAAATGATTTGTGTTTGATTCCAATCTGTGATATTGGTCTTGACAGAATCATGTTTTCCTATTAAGTTCCAAGAATTTTTCTGGCCTTCATAATCCCACTTTATGGTTTGAAAGTTAAAACAAAAATTTACATGAGAGAAACAGAAGTCATATTCACCTGATGATTTTTCTCCCTTTAAAAGCCCTTTCAGGAAGGATAGGAACAACTCTTTAAGAGGTGAGCCCATGTGGCTTGGAATAAGGAGCTTCCCTGAGTCTTGGGTTGTAGCTCAGCGGAAGAGCACTTGCCCACCCTCATGTGTGAGGCATTGAGTTCCATCCTCAGCACCACATAAAAATAAATATATATATATTTTTAAAAAGAGCTTCCCTGTTGATCAGACGCCTAGAATTTGTTTATGAAAGAGTCTATTTTTGACATATATTAGAACCAATACATTTTTTAGCTTCTCTGCATAAAAGAATGTATACTTTCTTAGCATAAATTTCAACTCAAAAAACCAGAACCTGGTGGTTGCTTTATCCTAACTATCCCATAATGCTCTAAGTACACTTATGCTCAGCTTACCTCCATGTTTTGATAAGCAATTGGCTTTTCTTCTGGAGAATTTGTTTTTTTTTTCTTTATTCTGAATTAACTTTCAAACATTTTAAGAGACCTTTGTACATAAAATTGAAGTCGTGATCTTTCTTTTTTTAATTACATGTTCATTATTCTTACCTGCTTTTGTTATTCACCATCATGGAACCACACAGGAAAATATTGGCCAAATGACCAATATGACCATTGGCTCACTGAACAGTTTTAGCTCACAAGGATGGTGCAATCTTGGTCCTTCTACAGGGGAACACAGTGAACTTTCAGTGTTAATATGACACTAATAATTAGAACGATCTATGGTTTTACCATAGCAATTTTAAGGGATGAGGCAATTTTGGCGGTGTTGAAAAGGCAGCAATTAATTAAAACTTTTCAGTGCAGTTTATGCTTCAGTGAATTCTTTATGTTCTGTCATAAGAAACGTCTAGTATCAGGCCTCAGTGTCCTAAAGGGTTAATGTGGCATGTTAAGGGCACAGGATTAGTGGTAAACCCTCTAAATCTCTCCTTCTCACTCTCTCTTTGGAGCCAGGGCTCCAACCCAGTGCCTCCCGCAGGCTAGGCAAGCTCTGTGCCCCTGAACTACACCCCCAGTCACTCTCCTAAATCTTACTCTAACTTCACAGCCTCTTACATCACCTCCCTGGGATCCAAGCGGCTTTAAACAAAGGAAGACAGTCTGTGAACAGCCAGGGATTTAAGGAATCAGGTTTCAAGTAGTACGAAAAAGTAGAAGGATTGAGATTAGATTAGGCAAGGTGGGAAAGGGATATTGGCAGGTAAAGCGCCGGAAAGTTACAACTTGGGTTATTTTTTAACTGGCGTCCTACAAACGGACGCCGTGTAGGTGTCTCACTCGCTAACTTGTAAATGAACTTGAGGTTCTTTTTAGCAGAGTAGACTCCTGAAGCTGAGAACCTGGCGGCCGTTCAACGACCCCGCCCTCGGGGTCCCAGGGGGCGTCTTCTGGAGAGTCTGATTGTCTGGGGCGAAGGCGCAGGGAAAGCAGGGAATAAGAAGGGAGAGGACCGCAGGCCGCGAAAGCACACATAAAGCAGCCTTGCTCTTCGTGGGTGGAAACTTCCCAGGCCGCGAGCAGAGCGGGAGGGGGCGGCGGGGCGGCGGGGCGGCGGTTCCCCTAGCCTAGGCAGAGAACTGCGCGCGCGAGGCTCGGGGCGCACTGCGAGCGCGGCGGCCGCCGCCTCCTCCCCTCCCCGCCTCCGCTAGCGCTGCCTCCTCCCTCCGCCCGGCTCGGCCTCCCTAGCTCCCTCCCCTCGTGGCTGGCTCCGGCGGCAGCGGCGGGCGGGGAGGGCGTGCGCCGGTCGAGAGGTGTCGGCTGCGAGGCAAGGGAAGTTTCAAGTGGAAGGTCGTCCGCCGGCCGGCGCGTCCTCCCGCTCTCCTCCGGCAGCATCATGGCGGAGCCGAGCGGCTCGCCCGTGCACGTCCAGCTTCCCCAGCAGGCGGCCCCGGTGACAGCAACGGCAGCGGCCCCGGCGATCGCAACAGCAGCGCCCGCCCCAACCCCGGCGGCCCCTGCGGCCCCAGCCCCGGCCCCGGCCCCAGCGGCACAGGCCGTGGGCTGGCCCATCTGCAGGGACGCGTATGAGCTGCAGGAGGTTATCGGTCAGTGCGGCGATCGCGGCGGGGTCGGCCCAGGCCGGGCGCTGAGGCCGGGAGGGAGGTGCGGTTGTGGGCGGGAGTGGGTGCAGGATGCTGGGTTCGCCTGCAGGCACGCCCGGGAGGCAGAGGGGCCGGCTCCGGGGCCTACTGGCCTTAACATTTTTTATTTTATTTTATTTATTTGTTCGTTCTCTGAGTGCTGGTGCTGCAGGAGGCGGCGCGGCGGATGTGACTCGCACTGCAGACGAGCCGCATGCTGCAAACTTTTATCTCCCGGATCGCTGGGGCGGCGGAGCTGGGCACCCGGCAACGCGGCCGCATCTCCCTCCCCCGCCGCGCGCGCGGGGGCCGGAGACCGTGGCCGACGGCCACGCGAGCAGACAGCACGGGTGGGGTGGGGTTGCGGGGACGCCGCCCTGGGCTTCCAGCGCCCCTGCGTCGCGCCTGGCGGACCGGGTCCTGGGGGACTCTGCGGGCTCAGCCGCGCCTCTGCCTCGCGTCATGACCCTCTCGCCGAGGGTAATTGGGCCACGTAGAAGCCGCGGAGGCCCAGGTTCTTTCCGAGGCCGGGGAGGATGCTGGCCTCCTTCCTGACAGCCGCCACTCCACGCCCGCCCTGCAGCCCAGCTCTTAGCGGCGCGCGGCGCGTCCGGGTACCCGCCTCCTTCAGTGCCGGGGCGCGCCGCCTGCCGCCCAGCCCGGCTGCCGGGGAGAGCGGGCGCCCTGGCTTACTGCCTGGCACCGGGCGGATGCTTCCCTCTGGTCCAGGGCTGATCTGCTAGAGTGGAACCTGGGGCTGCCTGTGATCTGCTCTCTGTCTTTAGGTGCCTTCTATCCGGCTCAAAAATATCCCCCTATCTTATATTTTTAAATGCTTGCAAAGTCGAACGGCAAGAAGCCGGTTTTACTTTTCGTTGGGCCAACCAAGTACGTGAAGGACCTTCTCTTAGAACCTTCTCTATTGGATCCTTCAGTTAAGTCTTGTCACTTGACGAAGGCTTCGGGTAAAGTGGGCTCTTAGCTTCTATCCTTATTGACACTGGGATGGGGTGCTGCTGTCCCATAATCTTGATATTTAAGGATAGTGATAAAAAGGAATTCAGGGTATCTGTGTTAAATATTTTTTCAGCCTTTTACTTAAAAATTTTAATTCCTTACCCCCCACCCCCCTTTGGAAAAATCATTGTTAAAGAAATTTCATTAGGTGTTTAAACTAGCCTTTATTTTGCCTGCTACTGTGTGGAGGAAACTCAGTTATGTATTTATTTCATAGATCTATGAAATACACACACATATGTATATGTATGTATATATATCTTTATGTCTGTCTGTGTGTGTATGAAAATGTGGGCAGGATAGTAACCTGGGAATCAAAAGGTCCAGATAACCTATATAGATATCTGTAGACAAAATTCTTTGAGTACTCAGATCTTCTTTGAGTACTCAGCCAGTCTTCTGGCTGAAGACTCTTAATGGATTAATCTTCATATCACTGCTTGAATTGAATAACTTCAGGTGCTTCTCAAAACTTAGAGTTCTTAAATAAAACCCCTTTAACCTGGCCTATATATTAGCCCCTCACCCTCAACCTGTATGCCTCCTCCCATATTCTTCCTGATTGTACCAGAATCCTCTGCTGTTCTGACAACACCTCAGGTCTTCATCCTTACCCTCTCTGCAGGCTTTTTCCTCCTCTGAGGGCCTGGCTTTAATTTTTCTTTTTTTTCCCGAAGACTGAACCCAAGGAATGCATGCTAAACACTGAGCTACCCACCAAGTCCCAAGTGCCTTTCTTTGTTTGTGAGTCACACTCAGCTTTCAGATCCAGGGTGAATATTTTCTGAGAAGCCTCTGTTGGCTTCTCTCTGGCAAAGTATAGTGGCTGCTCGCCTGCATTTGTGTTTTTTAAATACCTCATAGCATGTAAATCTATAGTTTTTATTTGCTCAACAAGACCAGAAGGCCTACCAAGTCACAATGGTCCCTGCCCTCAGAGTCTTCAGGAGTTATTAGTAGAGGAGGGTAGGAAGGCAAAGGATTCCATAGGATCTGATCAGTGAGGGTTGGGAGAGCCCAGCGGGGAGAAGGAGTGCTAGGAGAGAATGCAAACAGGCTAATTCTCAGAAGAGGTCATAGTTGAGCTGGGACAGAAGTCTGAGTGAGTTTGTAAGGTGCTTAATTATTTCTATTGCTACTTTCCCTAACCAGTTGTCCCTAACATGGAGAGGTTGGTTTAAAGGTTGATTGTTTTCTATAGGATCTGGACCAGAATTTACATATACTCAATTTTTATGCTTATTTTGTTAATTATTAGAGATAAAATGCAAGCTTTGCCTTTTGAAGACAATATTTTGAGTTGTCCACTTTTGTGAGCTAATGGGTGAAATCTTAATGTAAGTAGAATTAATTGCAGGGCCTCTTCCTGCTTGTAGTAACAACACTGTTAATTATGGTTGATCAAATTAACGGGGGAAAAGAAAAGAAATTTACCAGTGGAATTTGAGAACAGAAATACCTGCCTATTCTACTTCTATTTTTGCACATCATATTGTGGGAAATGCTTTTCTACATTTTAAATGTATCTTATGTTTTCCCAACTAAAAGAGATGGCCTGTGTCGAGGTCCTGTAACTGAAAAACCAAATTGCTGGAATGGGTTTTGGAAGGGCTTAATGTTTACAGGGAATTACAAACCCATTTCCATTTAGTCTGTAATACTGGTTGATTGAACTTGTGGTTTAGTGCTTTTGTTTAAACATTACAAGCAAGAAGTTAGTAGCTCAAACACTGAACCAGTTTCTACATGAATGCTAAGTTGACAGCCTTTGCCTTTGCCCACCATAAGGCAGGTGTCATATAATATGACTTCAGCAGTGTGAATGGTGACCAGCAGGAGGCTAGAATATGCCTGAGCAGAAAGCCAAAGGGAGAGACATTGTGCTTTAACTTTCCAGAGTGGCACAGGAGCACTCAGAACTTTTTCTTCCTTTCCTTCTGGTTAGAGAGAGTTTGGGGTTCCAGGATTTAGGAGAAAGTAGGATTACTAAAATTCAAACAGCAGTTTCCTTTTTCTTTTTTAAACTTATTCCGTTTCAGAAAAATAAAACACAGATTTTTTCAAGTCTAAAAATAAAGTTTACTTTTTTGTTGCATTGTTGTTGTTGTGACATTAAAGACCAGGGGAGAAATTGTAATGTTTTTAAGAATAATCTGGTTCAGAAGTTTATGTGTGACCTAGAAATGATATAAAAATCTGTTGGGGTAAGCTTTATACTCAGAGGGAGTTAAAAATGAAATTATTAAATTCCTCTGTCAGCTAATATCCTTGTATTAGTAGATTTCAAACATCCCTGTCTCCGGTACAAGTAACTGTTCTTTGCAGGCTTTCTAGTCAGTCAATTTGTGTCTTTACTTTCATTTATCTTTTGTTTTTCACCTTTCACCTCAACCCACCCCCAAATTCCATCTTAAGAAATGTAAGGGGCACTTGGAGTTATGCCAGTTGAAAAATTAGTTAGTTGGTGTTATTAATAGTATCACCTTGATTCTTTAAATTAATCAAAGGTGAATTATGTAAATGTCGACTTGGGCATCTCTGGGAGAATGGAACAATCTCAATAAAGTTTGAAGATCTCAGTCTTTGCCATATTCGTTTGTGTGTTTGAAGCAGGTAATCCCAGCAGTGCTGTTATCTTTGTTTATTTTCCCCTGAGAAACTCTAAACTGACTTCTGATTCAGAATGTTTGATTTTCTTAGTCTGTGTGTGGCCAGATGAGCCTTTCTTCATGTAATTTTTTGCACTTGATTTTTCAGCATTGCTTCACTTTTGTCCTGGGTGGTCATTTAGAATGATCTACAAGTAACAATTTGCCATCTTAGTCAACAAATAGAACTGACTGCTAGAATGGTAGCCCAGTTTGATAGAGTTCCTCTTTAGGTGCATTTCTCCAGACTCCTGTATCAAGGCCTGTGGCCAGGTCTTGAAGGAGCAACAGCTTATCCTAAAATGAGATTTGCAGACAGCCCAGGGATTCCATGATTTAGGGGTTAGAACTGGTCCTAGAGGCCATTTAAGGACAGTAGTGGTGCCTAGGGAAGCTGGAGCAATGAGTGTGTATTCTGGTCTCACAGACCTTTACACCAGGCTGCCTTGCTGCTTTGATTTTGATTAGTTTAGCTTTTTTTTTTTAAAAGTATTTAAAGAGGGCTACTGAAGACAGGCTTTGATTTTAATGATTTCATCTTAAAAAATATAAAGAGAAAAATGCTTGTTTTAATTTATTTGCTGTGATTATATATAGATTCTATATGTATTTATGTACATATGTATACATAGATATTATACATATTTCAAAAGTTTTTACTATTTTTAACCTTTAAAAATATTTTTCTTTCTTGTGGTGTTGGGGATGGAACCTAGGGCCTTGAGAATGTTATGCAATCATACTACTACTGTGCTACACCTCACCCTGTTTTAACTTTTTTTTTTCCTTTGGCAGTACCGGGGATTGAACCCAGGGCCTCACACATGCTAGGCAGGTGCTCTACTACTGAGCTACATCCCCAGGCCCTTATTTTAACCATTTTTTTAAGTGTGCAATTCAGTGGCATTTATTATATTCTCAGTAGAAGTGCTCTTTAAATAAATATGCTTTCAAACTTTAAGTTTGGGCTTCTGGCTCAAAGGCAGAAAATCTTGAGGTTAAAAAAAAATAATATGGGAGAGGGACTGAAATTCTTGCTTTGTTGATTCATTTGTGACTGATAATATACATTTCCTCCTGACTCTTGTGGTTTATTGTACACTGCACTTTTGGATGGTGTTTGAAAATAAATTGCAGCAGTGCCAGCTCTGGAGTCGGATGGTCTGGTCTGTTTTATGTCCTGCCATAGCGGTCACTGTCATTTGTGACCTTGAACGAATTACTTAGATGTGTCTGCACTCAGTTTCTTCACTGGTAATATGAAGGTGATAAAAATAGAGTTGTGAGGATGAAGAGAAT